GTCATTTGCAGACAGGTTCAATTTTGTCAACTGACGCAATTGACACTTCATGCTGTCAATGACAGCTTGAGACATTTGAGTCAATTGAAATTAAATTGACTTATTGCGCATCAGATCTTGGAAGGTCAACCAAGCATGTCATTTCCTCCGTTTTGTTTGAAACTATACAAACACAAGGGCGCCCACACTCATATCACCTTCCCTAAATATCACCCCCAAGACATCACAATGAACGCAGTATCCTCGTTCAGGGTAAGCACAGGCAAAATAAGCAAATCTTTGGTTTAATTTCCGTAGCATTGCGGCCTGCCCCTTGGAAAAATGTAGTCCTACTCAAGATTTGCCTATCTAATTTTAAAGTTTGCCTATTTATTACTAAATTTTGCTTTGCTCTTCTCAAGATGGGGGTATCAATTCTGAAAGCTTTGAACACCAGACCCCTACTATCTAAACCCTTACTATCTGGACCTTGTTCATAAGTTAGTGATAACAATACCCTTATGTCCATCTACTGGAGTGGCAGTTGCGCCATCTACCTTTTCATTTTAAAGTAAATTTGTCATCCAACATGCCCTATTTTGGCGCTATTTTTTCATCAATTGGATCTTTGACAAGCCACGTAGATGGCGCAACGCGTTTTATGCTCCAACTAAAATAGCGCCGTTTTCTTCCTCACCGCACGGTGCCATCTTATGGGCATTTTGTTATTTGAGTTGAGCCATCCATTCTGGGTGATTGTACCGTTTTTTATTTATTTATACATTTATTTTTATTTATTTTATATTCTTATATATATATATACATATATACTTATATATATACATATATATATATTTGTATATATATATATATATTTGTATATATATAAAAATATATATATATATACATATATATATATATTTGTATATATATATATATACATATATATATATATACATATATATATACTTATATAATTATATTTTTATTTTAACATATTGTTTTATTCATTTAAATACTTATATATATACTTATATATATATATTCATATATATATATTGTGAATGTTTGTGTAGTGTGTATGTACATTATAAATATAAAGATAGCACATACATATACATACATACGCAGCATACACAGTGTACAGTAATAATGATTGGAGAGATGCTTCTTTCAAAGTGGTTGTACACGTGCTGTGCACAGTGCTTTCCACAGTGCGGTGGTGAAATGTGGCAAAGGTGCTCTGCAGGGTGCTGTGCACGGTGCTGTCCAGAGTGCGGTAGCGAAGTCATTCCAAGGTGCTGTGCACGGTGTTGTGCAACGTGCTGTCCAGAGTGCTGTGGCGAAGTCTGGCAAAGGTGCTGTGCAGGGTGCTGTGCACGGTGTTGTCTGGTAATGGAGGTTGAGGGAAGTTTGCTGTGAAGGCTGCTGTGCAAGGTGCGGTGGCGAAGTCTGGCAATGGTGCTGTGCAGGCTGCTGTGTAGGGTGCTTAGCAGGGTGCTGTCCAAGCTGCTGTGCAGGCTGTGCTGCGCGCGCTGCTACAAGCAGAAGCAAAAACATTTGTCAGCTCCATTTTGCAAGGTTCATACAAAATAATAGGTTCCAGCAGAATATGTGGTTGATGTTTTCAATATTTTCTATTGACATCTATTGATCCTGATTTCATCTGATCCGAATATGTTTTGATGCACCTACATAGTAGTTGTTGAATCCTTCGCCAAGAGGGCGGTCCTTTGTCTTTGTTGTTTTGTTCAGATATTTGATTCATTTGCATCCCCCGGTGGACTTCCACTACTAAATGCTATGACCTAGGCCCCGGAAAGTGAACCAAAAATTTAGTGTGAATTTTCTAGAAACCATTTAGTAGAGAATGATGATTTTTCAAAAAGATCAAGTATAGTAACCGGCTAGCACTTAGAATATTAATCATTGTTTTTTCCGAATATGTCTATTAGTTACATGATTTTCCTGGGTGAAAACAATATTCTAAGTGCATATCCACAGACGATGCACATAGAATATAAACCTTGTAAAGATGTGCTGATTTGATCATGAATCAAACCATCATTTTGCATGGCGATGTCCGCGCTGTTTACTTTAGATTTCACTGATCAACGATTTGCTGGGAGAGTCTTGAGATTTTGATAAGGTATATATATATATATACCCCCATATTCTATGTGGATAAATATTCTATGTTGATGACATTCCAGGAATAGGTTTTGCTATGCATTTTCCATATTCTTAGTGGCACCTATTTATTTTTAATATTCTATGTGCCAGCTGTTTACTATATAAACATCTCTAGACCCATGATCCACATTTAGTAGAGAGGTAAAGATATGTTTATCATATGATGTCAAATCTGGTTTTTTGGATAAAACCATTTAGTAGAGATGTCAAAAAAATGTTTCAAAATCACAGAAACCATTTTGTAGAGGTTGCAAAGTAGAGCTCATAAAACGGTCACAATGAAATGAGACAAAACTGAAAACCATTTAGTAGAGATTCCCATTCCGTTGCCCCCGATAGCCGTTTGGCCAATCCATGTCCATCAGGATGAATCACGTCAATCCAGGTAGTTCAAAAAAAGAAAATTGAAAAATAAATGTAAATAGGGCTATATAAATGAATTTACCCCCTGGATTTTATCTACTCATGCATGCCTTTGCCTTCCTTTTAACCAACCTACCTCTACCTAAATATATCTAAATCATTCCAAATTGAAATTGAATATATATATATATATATGTATAAGTGTAAAAATAACTAAATGTGTGTATATATATATTATTATGTGTATATATATATATATTATTATGTGTGTATATATATATATATATCATTAATTATCATTATATATCTGGCTCTCTCTCTCTCTCTATAATGGATTTCTATGTTTTTTTTTGGGGTTGTGACCTGTGGATTCCACAAAAGGCTATGCAGAACCATAGTGGTGGGGTCTGTAGCCTTTTTCCACCCTTATCACACCCCCATACCGTGGCCCCAGACGGGACTGAATCACCCATCATCCCCCCGTCCTTGTCTTCCTGGATGGGCCCTGGATGGACAGCAGATGGAAGAGATTCCGTCTCCTGTCAAGCAAAAGGGCCAGGCTGTGGAGGGAAAGAAAAGGATGAGGGTGCCAAATTAAAACAATAGGGAATCCAAAGGACAGGATGTCTCTCATGCATGCTTTTGCCTCCCTTTTAACTAACCAACGGGGCACCCAAGCGAGGGATTTGGCATCGCCCCTGAAAAAGCGAAAAAGAACCCAAGCACGATGTCTACTCATGCATGCCTTTGCATCCCTTTTAACTAACCCACCTCTACTAAATGGAAAGCCACAGCCCAGAGAACTCCAGACTAGGAAAAAAACCCTTACAGGAACCAAATGGAACCAAATAGGATCAAACACATCTATAACTAAATTTACCTAAATATATCTAAATCATTCCAAATTGAAATTGAATATATGTATATATGTATAATTGTAAAAATAACTAAATGTGGGTGTGTATGTATATATGATTATGTGTATATATATATGATTATGTGTATACATATATATATATTATATCATAAATTAATTATCATTATATATCTGCCTCTCTCTCTCTCTCTTTGTCTCTCTCCCTCTCTATAATGGATTTCTATGGGTTTCTTTGGGTTTTGACCCGTGGATTCCACAAAAGGCTATGCAAAACCATTCTGTAGTGATTGGGGTCGGTAATCCTTTCCACTCTTATCACACCCATTCAGACATCCACCCTGCCTCCTGGTCTTTCTGATTTCCCTTTCCTTTTCCTTTGCTAGCAGCAGGTGGAACAACTTCCCCCTGCCAAGCGAAAGGCAGCACAGGTTATGGAGAAACAGAAAACCAATGAAAATCAAGGAAATCCAAAGAAAAGGATATGAATGGATATGACAGGTCTTTTGACTAGCCTCCCTATACTAAATGGAAAACTACAGCCCAAAGAACTCCAGACTAGGAAAAACATGGAAAAACAATGACGCGAGCCAAATGTTTTCAGCTTGACCCAAAAGGATCCGAGGATCCAAATGAATCACAACCTACAACAGTTGTTAATGCATTCCTATGGGTATCTTTGGGTACTAACCAGTTAATTCCACAAAAGGCTATGCAAAACCATTCTGTAGTGATGGTGATGGGGTCTGTAATCTTTTCCGCTCTTATCACACCCCCCAGACGGGGCTGCATCCACCCTGCCTCCTGGTCTTTCTGATTTCCCTTTCCTTTTCCTTTGCTAGCAGCAGGTGGAACAACTTTCCCCTGCCAAGCGAAAGGCAGCACAGGTTATGGAGAAACAGAAAACCAATGAAAATCAAGGAAATCCAAAGAAAAGGATATGAATGGATATGACAGGTCTTTTGACTAGCCCCCCTCAACTAAATGGAAAACCACAGCCCAAAGAATTCCAGACTAGGAAAAGCATGGAAAAACATGGAAAAACAATGGCAGGAGCCAAATGTTTTCAACTTGACCCAAAAGGAAGTCTGCGGCCCAGGAAGGAAACCGCTCATCAAGCGACCAATCCTCATCATGCATGATTCACCCAATTGATCCATAAATATAAATAGGGCTAAATCTTTGTTTTCTCTACTAAATCTACCCCCTGTATTTATCTACTAAATGGCTTTGGGGTTTTGGTCGAGTCATGTTTGTCCTCCAACTTGTGATCAAATGAGTACCTCTACTAAATGGAGCAGGGTGTTTGGTCGAGTCATGTTGGTGTTTTAAGACACTCTGAAAATATATCCAAATTTTGCACTTCAGCTGAACCAGGGGCCCACATTTAGTAGTGAAATTCGATCATGCATGCACATCCATTCAGTAGAGATTGAGGCTATGCAAACCGTTTCTTCACTACAAAATGGTTGCGCAACCCCATCCCCTTAATTCACAGGGGGATTCATTTGCTACCGCGACCAGTATCGAGCAACCGCCCTGTCTCGCAGAAATTGGCAATGAGAAGTGGTTGTCTGGTGTTGCCCGGAAGGATTCATGCCTACTGCCTCCAGCTCATGACGTCGTCAGCTGAGAGATGTTTGCGCATCGTCATTGGTTTGTGTTGAGAAGGGTTGACTCATCTTGCTTCCAGCCGGAAAGTTGAGGCGCTCTCTCTGTTGATTCCTTCGACGGATTGCAGGCGTACCATTCCTGGCCGCATGTTACCACTGTGCATTTTTGTAATATGCTTCTCCGATCCATTACGATCCCCTCTGTCATGCACAGACATACAATGCGGAGAATATAAATGTTCATAATTGGTTATAATTTCATGAATTTTTGTCACAGATTGTAATGGTCGTGCATGGACATACTTTAGCAGGTCAGGAGAATGGATCATAATGCCTCCCTGTTTTGGTGAAGCGTTCTCTTTTGCTGAATTGTTCTCTTTAGGTTGAGACTTTTTCATGAATTTATTGGGCATGATATGCGCACATATTTGCACAGAAATTGGGTTTGCAACAGAGGTGATGAAGGCATCACATGGCTAGGTTTGGTTTGGCTCAGTCCAAAGAACAAACTGACAAGCACTTAACAGTGTGGGGCGGTTGAAGCCAGTCTGGCGCAGAGCGAGAGCGAGAGAGAGAGAGAGAGAGGTAGTGATAGTGATAGTGATAGACATAGAGATAGTGATAGACAGTGGCATAGAGATAGAGATAGAGACAAAGAGAGAGAAAGAGGGGAACACTGCATTCCGACGGCATTGACCGAGTTGTGAAACTTGCTCTTGTTGCAAAGAAGCCCATCGCGGCAGCGCACTGATGCCAAACACATTTTGTTCAAAGCGCTTCAGGGCCCCCAGCAGTTCACAGAGGCAAGTGGTTTCCTTGAACTCACTGAGTCATTGAACTTTTTTGCTTCAGGACTTACGTGGCATTTCCGGAGTCTGCAGAGTGCGATCCAGAGCACAGATTGGCGGAGAAGGCAGTGCACAAAGTTTTTTTCTCCTCATGAACTCCCTCATGTTGTTGATTGCCATTTCGCTTTCTTACATGTTGACCGTAGTGGTGCTGGCAAATGGTTTTCCGTATGCACCGAGTGCATGTTTGCATGCTGACCTCAGACGACCCCATGATGTAGTGGTATTGCATGGTCCACTATGGGCCGCACCATTTCGCGGAAAGATCTTAATTCATCTTAATTCGGGTGAGGTCTTTGGCGCTATTTTGCTTATTTTGCCCACTGGCTCCATGCTTGAGACATGTTGAAACAGTGGCAGCAAGCCGTCGGCCACACCTGACGTTGCTCAGCCAACTTTGCTGGATCCTCTTCGTGCAGTTCCACTTCTTCCGCAAAGACCTTGGGATTCTCGAAAGTGTGCTTTCATATGACGAGTCACGGTCAAAATGGTTGAAGACCACTTTAGTATTGCAGGATATTGCAGGAGTTTTTTTAATCAGAGATGCGCACGAAACACCCCCCCAAAAGCGACAACCTGGGACCATACACGGCAGTCCATGAAACTTGGCGTAAACCAAGCAAATACTTTTATGCACATTCACAGAACGGGCAAAACCGATGAGAGAAATTCAACCTGTGGTGCTCTGTTTCCTGCAGTTGCCATATCATTTGGCATCGAACTCGCTCGCTCTCTTTCTTTCTTTCTTTCTTTCTTCTTTCTTTCGTTCTTTCTTTCTTTAGCGATAACCTCAGCGATAACTTAGCGATAACCATTTGTTGCACTCGGTCCCCTGGCCAAGCCACAAAGCCATTTTCATAACTTTAGAAAGGAAGATGAAAGGACATAAGTGCACATTGCATTGGAATGAACATGACGGGAATAGGAAAGGAAAATGAAGGGAAATGAATACAAATGAAAGGAACACTAGACGACGGATGGCCCGAGAGCGTAGAGGACACAGAGAAACAGGTCACAACATGCCACATACGTCACTCCCAGCCAAGCCACAAATCTAACCTAAAAGTATTCAAACATGACACCCAGAGCCAAGCATGTGCAAGAATTGCTAAACATGCCACATCTCTCAACTCCAGCCAGGACACGACTCTGTCTCAAGCAGGCCACACATGATCCCTGTTACACACACAGCTGCTTTTACACACCGCGGCTTTTACATACAGACGCTTTTCTACAGAATCACTTTTACACAGACACACTTTTACACACAAGCCCCTTTACTCAAAGACGCTTTTGCACACCAACACTTTTACAAAGAAACCCCTTCACACACACACACACACCACAGTTGCTTTTACAAACCATTTCGCCCACAATCCCTTTTGCACGCCGATGCTTTTACACACAGTGACAGACACTTTTGCACACAAACCCTTTTACACGCACACCCCTTTCACACACACAAACACACTTACACGCAAACGCTTTTACACGCAGATTCTTTACCACACCAACACTTGTACACAAACACTTCTACACACAGATGCTTTTACACAAACGCTTTTACTCGCTTCCCCCGCCCGATCCGAAATCTCGCGTTTAGTTGGGGGGGGCTTCCCGGGAAAGTCGCCCCAACGTGCCCCAACATTCGTTTAGTTGCTGTGGAGCAGTTGCATAAGATAGAAAACGATGCTTTACAAGTAAACATGTTTTTATTTTGCTTTTGTTTACACTTGTGAACTTGTTTTTTTTGTCATGCCTGGCTCATTCATGTGACCGTCGAGCAAGTGTTTACATGTCGCCCTGCCGGGGGGGGCCTTTCTTGAGTAGTTGCATCGATTCATCTAATTACAGTGGATGCTGGCCTGCTGCCAGGCTGATGCTGGGATGCTGCTAAATGGCTGCCGGATATCACCATGGGCAGCGTGCAAACTGCTGCTGAGCTGCTGCCAGACTGCTTCTAGACTCCTGCTAGAGACTTGCTGCTGGGCTGGTGGTAAACTGCTGCAAAGCTGAGGGGTTTCCAAAGCTATTTTCTGGCCTCGTTCGGGCCTCGTTTTGGCATCGTTTTTATGGCCTCGTTCGCGTGACTTAAGACCCACCTGGGGGCGCAGTTCAAATGTGCCAGCTGGGGAATTTGATGCTTTGTTTGAAGAAGAGCACAATTTGGCCACAGAAATTGGTCGCAGACATGTTGGGTTGAGATGTAAATCAGAACCCCATAGGTTTGTTACCAAAACATACATGAATCATGCGTTCACATTGTGTTTTGGTCCAAAAGATGACATTTCTTAGATGTACTTGTATGTACTTGTTATACTTTGAGCATTAGAATTAGATGCGTTTTGTAACGGGATATATTTTAACCAAACATACACGAATCATGCGTTTACATGGCGTCTTGATTTTGAAATATATCATGCTGTTAACAATTTTCCATAGTTTGAAACCGTTGGGGTGGCTTGCGTTCCATAGTACAAGGCGACTCTTTTATTCACAAACACGTTTACAATGCGTCCTACCTTCGGAAATTATTTTGAGGTGGGAGTTGGTTATGGATTTTTAAAATAATTTCCAATTTTCAACATAAATTTTATGTTAACATCAGCGAACAAGAACCATAGCAAAATAATTTATGCACCCGTAACCCGATGATGGTGCAAAATAATTTTCCACCTACAGAGGTTGAAACACCTTGAAATAATTTTAAGCAAACAACCGAAGGCACCTCAAAATAATTTCTCAGTTGAACTGGGGAAATTATTTCATAGAGTCCCAACTGTATAAAATAATTACCAGACACCCAGGATGAAAATTATTTCATGGGGAAGTTGAGTTTTGCAAGGTTAGGTTATTTTGTTTTCTGGGGTGGTCTGGTAGTACCCCCACCCCCAAAATAATTTTTTTGGGGAGAGGAATCGATTCAGGTTTCTTTGCCCAAAAGTCGATGATAAGTCGATGTTCTAAAAAATAAATAGTTCAGTAAGTAATTCATGGTAATTCTCAGGGTTTGTCTCTTTGAGGCAATTTGGATACAGTTTGGGTCAATTTGATTCAATTTGGATTCAATTTGGTTGAATGTAGTATTTTTGAACTATTCAAGGGGAAGTTAATTTTGCCAGGTTAGGCTATCATTTTTTCTGGGGTGGTCTGGTGGTACCCCCACCCCCAAAATAATTTATTGGGCAGGAAGGGGTCAATTCAGACTTTTTTGTCCAAAAATCGATGGTCTAAATAATAAGTGGTTCAGTAGTGGGTGTGAAAGGGGGTCGGTTTAGATGATTTATTTGATTTGTGCCACAACCTCCAAGTGGTTTAGTGCTTGTCGGGTGCATTCGAGAGGAGAGGTAGGGTGACCCCCCAAAATAATTTTGTGTTTTTTTTGCTAATTATTTTGAGGTGGTTCTACTTGTTTTTTCAATCATCCAAAACCATCTTAAACCACCTCGAAATAATTTCCAAAATTATTTTGAAGTAAGGGAAGTGTTTTTGAGTAATAGTGGAACCCTACCAAATATTTTATTTGCAACCTTTCAGAATTTTTTTTTGGGGGGTGGGTAGTGTCAAAGGAAATTATTTTGAGGTGGGTTAGAGTGTTTTTGAAAAATATTTTGAGGTGGGTTTTGTACTAGAAGCAGATTAATTCCTAAAAAATCCTAAAAAATATTTTGGGGGGTGACCCTAGTGTTTTTACCTATGGTAGCCCGCATCGTTTACACACAAACACGTTTACGCGCAAACGCTTTTACACACAAACTCTTTTACGCACGAACGCTTTTACACACAACACTTTTACACACAAACACTTTTACACACAGACGCTTTTACACAGACCCTTTTACACACAAACACTTTTACACACAGACGCTTTTACACAGACCCTTTTGCACACAAACACTTTTACACACAGACGCTTTTACACACAGACCCTTGAGGCCACAACCCCCTTCACACACAAACACGTTTGCACACAGACCCTTTTGGCCACAAACCCCCTTCACACACAAACACGTTTGCACACAAACGCTTTTACACAGAGACGCTTTTACACACACACGCTTTGACGCACAAACGGTTTGACACACAAACGTTTTTTTCACAAAAACGCTTTTACACACAAACGCTTCTACACACAAACACTTTTACACACAAGGGGAAAGCATTACCGCCGGACCAACCAAAGCCGGAAAAACCATCAGTTTTTGACACTCGAAAGGGTTGCCGCCGAGGATGTCAAATCGCAAAAAAATATCAGATTTTGACACTGGAACATCACTTCGTGCAAAAGGGTTGTCGCCGAGGATATAAAATCGCAAAAAAACAGCAGCTTTTGACACTGGAGCCTCATTTCGTGCGAAATGGTTGCCGCCGGACCAACCAAACTCGCAAAAAACCATCAGTTTTTGACATTCGAACCTCGTTTCATGCGAAATGGTTGCTGCCGGACCAACTAAACTCGCAAAAAAAATTCAGTTTTTGACACTCGGACCTCATTTTGTGCGAAAGGGTTGCCGCCGGACCAACCAAATTCGAAAAAACACATCAGTTTTTGACACTCGAACCTCGTTTCGTGCGAAAGGGTTGGTTTCCGCATTCTCGGACCGCTTTTGGAAGTTGAGATTTCGAAAAAGTGCACGCCGCCGTGGCGCGAAGCACATTTCGAAGTCAAAATGTACAAAGCACACCATTCTTGGACCACTTTTGGAAGTTGAGATGTCGAAAAAGTGCACGCCGTTGTGGCGCGAAGCACATTTCGAAGTCAAAATGTACAAGACACACCATTCTCGGACCACTTTTGGAAGTTGCAATGTCGAAAAAGTGCACGCCATTGTGGCGCGAAGGACATTTCGAAGTCAACATGGTAAAAACATCAGGGGTTCGGACCGCTTTTGGACGTTCAGATGTCGAAAAAGCGCACGCCGTTGCGGCGCGAGGCACATTTCGAAGACAAAATGGTAAAAACACTATGGGCTCGGACCACTTTTGAACGTTCAGACGTCGCAAAAGTGCACGCCGTTGTCGTGCGAAGATGCGCGAAGCACATTCGAAGTCAACATGTTAAAAACACCAGGGGTTCGGACCACTTTTGGACGTTCAGATGTCGTCTCGCATGGCAGGCGCAAAGGATGGTGCACCCAAAAGTGAGCAGAACGTGAGGGCGAGGGCTTGTGGCATTTTCAATTACAACCGCCACTACACCACACTACATTCCAATACACTACAACTACAACTACACCTTCACTACATTCCACTACACTACACTACACTACACTCCACTACACTACATTACACTACACTACATTCCACTACACTACATTACATTACGCTACACTCCACGACACGACACTACAACTACACTACACTACATTCCACTACACTACACTACATGACACTACCCAACATTATACTACAACTACAACTACAACTACAACCA